ACTCGTATTTCATTGCCCCCCCCCTTGCACCTCCTCCTCCTCCTCATGGTCAAGGCATTCGTGTTAACTCATTGCATTTTCAGTACATTTTTTTATTGATTTTCAATGAGTTTTGTTTTGTTTTTTAAATTGGAATTACTTTGAGTGTGGCAGTGACAGCCGGCGCGTTCCTAAAGTTGACAAGGTCATGGGTTCTCTCCTCAGCTTAATCGATCAGTTCGATGGGAAAAATTCGCATTTGACAGGCTGGACATGCATTAGTTGGGTTTTGTATCTCAAAGGTTACTTTTTTAAATTTTAATGGGATTGGGGGGGAAAGGAAACTAAACCAACGCGTGGCAACGAGCTCAAGGATGTTTTTTATAAGTTTTCTATGAAAATTTAAGTCGAAGTTGCTTAGCTTTCTCTTCCCTAAATAAACCTTTTCTTAAAATATTTTATAAGATTTTTAAATATGTTTTTTTAATATTAAAAGCTTTAAATTTAAATATAAAAGTTATATGATAGAAATCAAGGTTTTTTCGAAAGCAGAATAAGAATAGTTATTTTAGGAAAATGCGTGAAAATTCTCATTTATTTTCCAAGCAAAAAGTTAACTTTTTTCTAATATTTTTATGCCTTTAAAGGAAAAAGCCAAACGCGGGGTTACAAATTTATTTTAAATATTCTTTTTATAAGCTTTTAAGAATAATTTAAGTTTAAGAATTCAGTTTTACCCAAAAAAAAATATTTCTATAAACTTATTTTTATACATTTGTACAGGCTGGCCCATGTAACGTATGCTTTTTGAACTATCGATAATTTTGAGTTTAACATATCGAATGTCGAATGTCAATGGTTAAGTTTAGGCTCAAAGAAAATTGAAAAATATTGATATTTTTAAAGCGATTTTAAAACGCAAGTCTTAAGTGGGCCACCCTATATATATTAGGTTGTCAAAAAAGTCTTGCGGTATTTTGATTGAATTTTCAATTGTTCATAAAATTGTTTACAATAATGCGATTCAAGTCAAATATGCGCCGTTTTGTTCGATGACGCGTTCCCAACGAGATGCCAGCTTCATAATGCCCCTCTCATAGAAGCTCGCTTCCCTATTGGCAAGAAACTCGGAAACTGGCAAGAAACTCGTGGCGCATCTTCGACCACCTCTACACCAGAACGAAAACGTTGATACCATCGTTGTGCGGTGGAAATGGAAACTGTATCGGGTCCATAAGCTGCACAAATTTTATTGGTGGCTTGAGATGCTTTTTTGCCTTTATCGTAGTAGTACTGTAAAATATTCCGTATTTTCTCTTTATTTTGCTCCATGATTGCGACGCTATAACTCACGAACGACTTAAAAGAAAAGACAATCAATCAAACACGTCTTAGCGCGTGAAATGAGCTTTCCAAAAAGGTATAGTATGACCTGATGCGAAGAATAAAACAAGAACTACGCGCTTTCAGCGCCAACTATCGAAAATACTGTAAGTTCCCCTTCATTTTCCCAAAAGATAAACCTAAAACCTAAACCCCAAACCACTTTCGACTCTACTCTACACTTCCAAGAACTCTAATTTGTAACACCCCCTCCCTGCTGCACCTTTATCACACTCCCTCGCAATTAAATTTTCCTGCAGTCACAACTCAATTTCCTTCGTGCTTCCTGGCACGCTTCAATTGCCAGGACACCAGCACATGTCCCAGGATCTCATTCAAATGCTCGGCCAAAGTGTCAGAAAGAGTGTTTGGAAATATGCTCTTTCTATTGCTGTGCCGACAGCTCAATTAAGGCTAAGATAGCCTTTTGGGGTGATCCTACGGATGCAACAATTAGAAATCTCACCGTGCGAGGGTAGAAAGGTCTAAAAGGTCCTTCTCGTAGAGGAGGGTTGGAAAGTGTGCCCTTAAGGCTCAGCACTTAGTTACGCAACATTTGCGAGGATCCCGAGATAAGGATGTCCTTAAAAAACGTAGGCGTTGGGCAGGCGTTTGACAATTTTTTATTGTTTGTAAATTTAAATGCGTTTCCCTCGAACACAGCTGTTCGTATATAGTTTTTCCATATAGTTTTCCATATAGTTTTAACCCCGACCTTAGCCGAGGGCATTTCCTTAATTTCCCCGTGTTTAAATTAAGTTGTTGCCACATTTGTCTGCCTTTCCTTTCCTTTTTGGCGTTGAAAGTGCTTCAAGTGGCAGCTCATTAATCCTGCGGCTACTGCTTCTTCTTTTTGCTTTCACCGACTGCCACTTGTGGCACGTGGTGTCCTTGTCCATGGACTCTCGTGTCCTTCCATATTCTTAATTAGTTGCGCACTTGTAAGCAAATCGTTTAGCTAAGCAATTTGTTAACTTGCTTGGTTACTCCTCTAATTTCTAACTCTAACATTCTCGAGGCATCATTTCGAAGAGCTCATAAATTAAAGGGCCCAAAAGTTTGGCTTTTCCTTTTTGTTTATCTATAGAAAAGTTTTGATAATCGATAGGAGGTAACCTTTGTTTTACCTTTCGTTTCGGTTTATTCCTTTGGTTATGAATAACTTCGACTAATTACTAATGGCTTCTTAGTCTTAAGATTTAATCTTCCTCAATCATAAATGAGTTTAAGTGAGTTTAAGCCACAGTGTTCCGCGGTTTGTGGGCGTTAGAGTGGACGTGGCTGGATAAAAACTCGTGGAAAGTTGCAGTGGCAACCCTTAAATACGTATTCTTAAGCTTAACTTTTTAGCTCTTTTAGTTCCCGAGATTTTTTCATTTTTGGTTTTTCGGGTTTTGTGGGCGTTAGGGTGGACGTGGCCAACGAAAAAAAACAATTCGCATTTGGAGCATCATAAAAATCTACATTTTTCATCCGAACTTTCTATCACTTATAGTTACCGAGATATCAGGTTTTCTTGAAAATGGGAAAACCGTCTTTTGAGCTTGGTGGGCGTATGGGTGGGTGTGGCCAGATAATTACCAGTACCACTAAAAGACGCGCTGGCATTCAAAGTTTATACCTACTGAATTTCAACTTTCTAGCTGTAATAGTTCCTGAGATTTCAGCGATTTTAGTTTTTCTTGATTTGTGGGCGTTAGAGTGGGCGTGAATGCTGAAATAAACTTGCGCTGTCCAAGGACCTCAAGAATCTTAATGCTTAAACTCAACTTTGTATCTGTTATAGTTCCTGGCGATAGGCGATCTCAGCGTTCATACGGACAAACGGACGGACGGACAGTCGGACATGGCTTAAACGAATTCGCTATTGATACTGATCAAGAATATACGTATATACTTTTTAGGGTCGGAAACGCTTCCTTCTACCTCTTACATACTTTTCAACGAATGTAGTATACCCTTTTACTCACCGAGTAACGGTATAACTAACGAGTAACGAGTATAAAATGAAAAAAATTAATTTTAAAATAAGAAATCGAGAAGTAACAGTACTTTGCTAACCAACACTTTGTATTTTCTTAAGATTTTTTTTGATTTTTACACCCTTGCAGGCCTTCCCCAACTTTCCCAAGTCCAACTTGTCGCTACGAAAAATCCCAAAGAGGCAAACGAAGAGTTTGCTTAGCAAAGTTTTCCTAGCCTCCGGCTGTTCTAAGCATTTCTGCGAGCCAAAAGGAAACAGCTCATGGCTTCACTTCCGGCATCCTACCTACGTCCGCCCGCCCGTATTTCCCGTTCTAGGAAACCGAGAAGGAAAGCGCAGAAATTAAATTTAAGCTGATTTCGGATTTAACAGGCGAGGTCTGTTGGAAGGGCAAACTGTGGATCAAAAGTTGCTGGCAGGGATTAGCAGGCGGAAAACGGGAAAACGGAAAATCCATCTGACAGACGTGGCCCGTCTAATTTGTCGCGTGTCCAGCTGAAAGCAAAAAAAGAAGAATCAGCGGCATTTTCACGTAGTTTTCCGCAATTCGCTTTTCGCTTTATATTTTTTCCACACCAAAGTTAACAATTTTTGTGATTAAAACTTTTTTGCTTGGCCAAGAATGATGACAACTTCTCCTTGGTTATTTTCCCTTAGCTGACTCAACGATATTTCCTTTTTATATTGCCCAAATATTGGCCATAATTAAGGCGATAAAAAAAAAATGACAGTACAGAGCGATAATTATTTGCCTGCCTCCTCCCTTCTTCCTCCCTCACAATTAGATACTTCTATCTTGCTTTGTCGTCTTTTAATTTGCATTTTAATTTATGGCCGCCTATAACTTTTATCGATGTCGTTGTCTTTGCCTTTTCCGCTAAGGCCAAAAGGTCAAACAGCTGTGTGTGGTGCTTGTCGTCGGCCTCTATGGACGTCATTGGCCCGAACTCTTGTCGTTGAAGGTCAATTAGCAGTTGGTTCGGAAGGAGGATAAGGCAAAAGGTTAGGCCAAACTGACCAGGCACATATGGTTTTAGAAAAGAAAAACTAAAGGAATTTCCATTTTGATGAGGGCAGAGTAGGAATCTCTACTGTTATCGGAGAGGGGTGTAAAGGAATGAGGGAACCTATTAAGATAGGTGAAAGGTTTTAGAATTTCTTCCTTGGGGGCACAGCTGTGAAGTTAGCAACTTTCAGATTTTCAAGTGTGAGGAGGGTAAAGGAAGAATCTCTACGTCTTTGATTATTGTTTGATTATCAAAGTGAAGTTTAAGGGAAAGTGCCAGATAGATAGATATAAAGAATTCTGAGTTCAGCTTATAAATGAAAGAGTTAAGTGAGAGTATTAAAGAGCTTGCGGTCTTGGCAAAAACATTAAGCCTTTTGGTATGTCAAATATTATAATATAGCTTAATATATTCTCATAGTCATGAAATGTTTGTTTACAAAAACTTCTTTAAATGACATGTGCCCCATGAACCTCCCAATTCAGTGGCCCTCAAGTGGGGCAACAAACTAATTTTCCTCCTGTTTAGAGTTCTTAAAAGTGCACTCAGACCACGCCCGCTCCCATGGTCGTTCCCCTTTATGGCACATAAAACATAAATCATACTTATCTAAGATATTTTTTATTCAAGAACTCCTTTAACCTTCCTTACCAATGAGGCTCAACAATGTGTCCCTGAAAGAAGACCGTTTTATGATCACGAATTACATAAGCAAATTGATGATCAGCTATGAAATTCATGGGCGGCTGAAGATTATCAAGCGACCTCTTTCGTCGAATATGTACACCTTAAAATGAAAATATAATCAAGTAAAATGTATTTACTAAGTAACTATGACTAAATACCTGTTGCTGCGGCAGCCTGGGAGCCACTTTCGTCGACCTTCAAAAAGGCTTTTTGAATGATTTTATCAATCTTAACACCTGTGCCCGAGACTAAGCCCTCAAAGTCAGCAGAGTTTTCAAAGGCATCGCGTATGCCTAACTAAAAGAAGTTATAGAACTGGAAAAGTTTATATTCAGCGAGATACTAACCTTCTTAAGAACTGAACTTAACTGAGTGGTAAATTTGATTTTAAACTTGGGCAGCTTTACATTCACCGAAGTTCTCTGCAGGACCCTCGAGAAACCAGAAAGCTTCTCCTCCAACTTCATAAGACCATCGATTTGGTTGGGCAGGAAGATGCGCATCGAAAGGTTGGACTTCCGGTAGGGTAGCTCTATCACCTTGGCATCTAAGTCATCCAAGTTGGCTGCCATTAGGTGTCCAGAGAAGGTCATCATCTCGACGGGAATGATTTTGTCAATGGATATATGGAAATCCTCCTCATTGGATTGATCAACCTGGAACTGGTGTTGCCAGTGACCTTCGAAGTAAATGGCATTTACCAGAAGAGTGCTAAGATCGGAATGCATGTCACTGGGTGCAACAATGTCCGTGATCTTGCCACGCGTCTGCTTGGCTACCCAACCATTGACAATCGATGAGGCATTAATGGGATTTTCCATATTGATCGCCTTGGCTTTGGCCTTGAAGGACTTTTGTACTAACTTATTAAAGTCCGGAACTAGGCGATATTTTCTATTGACATATATCCGGTTTGTTAGATGAAGGCTCACAGACTTTTCCCGTTCCTGAAGACTTGTGAAAAACTCCCTGTAGCTGTCAGCCACATCTTCCTTATCCTCAGCCAAGTGCAGAGTGTTTCTTAGCTCCTTGGCCGTTTTCCCACCAGCTGCTATGTACATCATGCTTAAGACAATCTCCACGGAAATCGGCGATGCAATGAGGTTCTTGTGCGCATTTTCCTTGGCTAATATTTGATAGAAATCATCGCTGAACCGACAAGCCACCGACGAGGCCAGCAAAATCAGATCTGTAAAAGAGAAATTGAGAAAGTTTTAGGTATAAAGTTTGGTTCTGTTTTTTCCGCTTACTCAAGTATTTCATTGGAATGGCCACTTCAGACTTCGGGAATATCAGCAGACGCTGATTATTTCTAGTTAATTGACTTAATAACGATGGCTGGACATGGACATTAGCAGGTAAATCAATTTCAAATGCTATTTGTTTATGGCCATGTGTCTGGGCTTACTGTGCGAGAGGGAAGGGTGAGCGATGTCAGTGTTGGAAAACGTTAGAAAAGCAACCATCTCCAACTTAACAGCTCTTCTTTATTCAAAGTTTTTATCTTCTAAAGTTGTAATAAAAATAAACTTTTTAAACGATGAAATAAATGCCTGGAAAATACATTTAAGCTGGTTATTTATAAATTAATTTTATTTTTATTTTTTATCAAGCTTTCGGCATTTTTAGAGTTTTTATAATTTTAGGGAGCAAATAATATTAAATAATGGCTAATTTTTTAAATTTTCTTTTATATTACTTCAAGCTGGAATATTTTGAGATCACCAAATCATGGAGTCATCTTTCTAACTGCCTTACATATATGATAAATACCGTAAAATCCTAGTTTAAGCTTTTTATTTGCCTTTGTTAATAAATTGCTGACTAAGGGTGGCCCATGGAAGATTTGCGTTTTAAAATCGCTATAAAAATATCAATATTTTTCAATTTTCTTCAAGCGTGAACTTAACCATTTCGTAAACAGCAAATCTTCTACGGCATGGAAATGTCAAAGTCAAAATTATCGATAGTTCAAAAAGCAAACACTACTTGGGCCACCCTGTAACCATAATAGATGATGGGTTATATTCACAGAAAAATCTAGAAATGATAGAGATATTACTGCTTTTTATACATAAAATATGACTAATAAATGGCTATTAAATGTACAAACAAAAATATTAGAAAAATCCAAAACATATTCCCTATAAATAAAACAAAAACAAGAAACAAAATAAATAATTTTTAATAGCTTCGAATCGATCAAACTTTTTGGAGTTTCTCAAACACAACATGATCCCCAACAACTACTTCCTTGCCCCTGAGTTCACCGCTTACCAAACCCGTTACCCCTGTCGCTTCTAATGAACACATGTCAATTAAGCCCGCAGTCTCGTGTCTCATGTCCGTGGAATGAAATATGTTCGCTAGTCGCAGTCTTCGACTCAGTCAGAGTCAGAGGACTCCTTCTCCTATTTAAACATCAACTGCAGCTCACAGTTGCACTGGGAAAAAGGAAATATAAGAGTTTATGAAAGTGGAAATTAAGGAATTTGTTGAGCTTGTGAAATGTGTTATATAGGAAGTTAAACTGAGGGCCTTGTCATGACACTCAAATATCTTAAAACTTAACAATAATTTTTTATATATTCCCTTGAAACTGAGTTCCCAGTTTTATCAATTTCAAGTCTGACACATGTTTTTAAGTATTCCAAAAATATTTATGATAAAAGGACAGACATTTTCTAATGACTAACAAAGAAAGATTTTTAAATTTGAAATAAACTATCTTACTGGGAATAAACCAAAAAAGTTTAAAAGCTAATTATCAGCAGAGAGCCACTTCCTGAAATGAGTAAAAAGAAGTAAATATTTTTCTCAGTGCAGAATGCAGTCTTGCGTGCTTGGCGTCGGCTGCCTGTGTTACGTTTCTCTCCGTTACGCACATTTTTGCTTATTGGTGGGGAGTGATGGGGTTGCGGGTGCTAAAAAGTGGGTGGTGGCTTTGGGAGGGGGTGGTGGAAGAGAGGCAGACAAGCGACAGTTTGGACATGTTCGCCTCAAACCCCTCAAAAAAAAAACAAAAAAAAAACAGAAAAAGACGACGAACCAAAATGCAAGTGTCTCGCCTTACAGTCGCCCCCAACTCTTTCGCTATGAGCCTGATTTATGTCGTCGAGTGTCGCGGGTGTTGCGTGTTGGCACCCACAGCCCGCTTGCCCTGCTTCTTAAGTACAGGGAGAGAGATTTTAAATAGGAAAATATTGTATATTAATTATATATTTTGGATTATATATATTTTTAATATTATTGAATATATTCAGAAACTCAAAAATTACGAAGTTGATAGACATTTTTTTACAAAGATTATGCTATTAAGATATGTTTTTTAAAATAAACAAATAATGAATAATATATAATAATAATGTATACAAAATAATAATTTTGTTTTAAATATTTTAAAAAAATTAGTGAGTTGAAAGGCATTTTCTTCAAAAGTTTATAGTTCTTAACAAGCTTTAAATTTAAATGAAATATTTTAATAAAATTTTTGAGGAAATAATTATCTATTTTTGGGTTACTAAGTTTGTAATTCTAAAGAAATACCTTAAAAATTTATTATTTTACTTAACTAGCTAACAAAAAAGAAGCTTAAAATCTTTAAAAAATATTTAAAAAAAAATCCATATAAACAAATTTTTTAATTCATAACATTTTAGAAGAGATTTTTTACAATAAAATATAAATTAAAAATATGATTTTTTACCTTAATATCATGTTTATTTAATATATTTTATATATCAGATAATTTCCATTGTTTTATAATTTTTGAAAGAACCAATAACATTAACCTTTTATTAAAAAAATAATAAAAAAAAATGTAGTAAAAAAATTTATATTAATTAAAGTAAAAGTAGTTAAAAATTTATATTAAATTAATTTATATAATAGAATCTTAAAATAAAATTTCGAATTTTAAATTTACATTTTTTACTAAATTCCCACTACCAATTTCTTTCACTGTAGTCATCTGAGACTTAAGCCAGTGTAGTTTGAGTTTTTTCTTCTTCTTCCTCTGTGGTCAGCTGGCTGTCTTCTGTCGATTGGCACTGAAGCGAAGCAGGCGATTTCCGCTTTAATGTAATTTTGACAACGCTTCCAGGCTGGCTAGCGAGAAGGGGTCCAGGGGGTGGGTCATTGGAACGGCACTGTTGTCAGGGGGGGAGAGGTTCAGGCGGCGGCTCAGTATCGTCATCAAGGAAATGTCATGATAAATCTTACTCGACTTTCGCGTGGCCGAAACCGTTACAGTAGCAACTGCGAATTCGATTTCGATTTGGGTTTTCGATTTAATTTAAAATCGTAGTTGATACCCTGTAATTAGGAAGACCATATCAAGTGTTACTAACTAAGAGGGGTAAAATTAATAGAAAAGAAGTTAAGGAATGCTTCCTAAATTTTAGGAATTTGACTTTAAGTTTTGGCTTTTCAAAGTGATAAAAAATTTAAAATATTTATAAATTTGTTAGTTAAACTTAATACTTCGTGGACATACATTTATTAAGCTTTTAACTCGAATATGAATATTATAAAAGAATATCCTATATCCTATATCCTAAGCTATACAGCCTAATCTCTTTATAAAGTTCTCAAACTTAGAAAAAAGTGTATCCCACAGTCATCAAAAGCTCAGTCACTGGAAAGTAGTTTTCCGTTTTTCTGTTTAATTTTCAGCTTTTCCAGCTCTCTTATCATGCGATTTGTTTTGCATGTTTTGATTTATCTGATTTGCTGGATATTCGATTACCCGATAACTCGATTGCAGCGACATTTAGCAGCAGTTGTGGAACCACTTTTCCCGCATTATCTCCATGCCCCGTTTTGTGGCAGCCCACCATTCAGTGCAACAAACGATTCAAATTCATGTTGCGACGCCCTGAAGTCTGTTTCCTTATCATCAGCTTTGAGAGCCATTAAAGTTCTTGGCGATGACCCAGAGAATCGTAAACCCACCAGCTTGAGTCATTGATGCACTGATGATACGCATTCCAGTCCTCCAGTCACTTTTTTTCCAGATTACAAGAGGGAGAGGAGGCATGAAGAAAATCACCATAAAATCTGTTCTTAAATGGGAAATTTAAATTTTCCAGCAATTTAAAAAGTCATATCAGACTAAGAAGTTTGAACCTAGGAAAAGATAAGGATTGATAGATTGTTTAATTGATTAACTAAAGTGATTGATTGTGGTAACTAAACTGAACTAGACAAAGGTTTCTATTCATGGGGCGTGTTAGGAGAGGGCGTGTTGGAAAGACCTAAGATAAACGATAGCTGGAAAATGTTAATAAGATAAAGAAAACACGGGTTATATATAAATACATATATATTGTATTGTATATATATGGATTACACATAATTTTGTATATCGACAGCAATAAAATGAAAATGAGCTGAGTTAGCGGAATCACAGCTCGGCCATTTATCGTTGGAAAAATAAGACTGAAAGGCAAAACAAGACAAGTAAGAACGTTTAAGTTGAGTTTTAAGAACTTTAAGATACCTAGTAAAGGCTTGAAAGTGATTCTTACAGATAGTAATTAATTAAATATTTTTAAAAAAATTTTAGAAGTCGCTGAAGGCCAAAAACGACATCCTTTTTGATGTTGGAAAGTGTAAAAATAAAGAAGTAAAACGTTTTTTTTAACATAAATATATAAAAATAAGCAAAATATAATAATAATTACATACATTAAAATATTTTCTAACTTTATAAAACTCTTTATATATATTTTTTTAATGTAAAAATTGAATACACCCCAAGTTTTCTCCCTAGTACCGCGTATAATTAAAATAATGAAAACCCAAAGAAATATAAGTAAATTCAGTGAAAAAAAAACTTTGCAATAAAACGTGCGAAGTTATAAAAACAATGGAGGCAAAGCGGCCAGAGAGGGAGAGCAAAAAAAATGAGCGAGGGAGAACGCACCAGATAAAGCCGAGCTCGATTCCACGGAGGTCTGTTCTGGGGGCTACGATCCGATTCTTTGTTGTGGTCAGTTGGAAAATCGAAGGCGTCGCGTCGCGTTGCGACTTTAAAACGAAACTCAAACGAAACGAACTAATTTTTAAATATGAAAACATTAAGAAATTTAATAAAATAATTACTACAATTAAAGTTAGTGATTGAAAAGTGGAAAGTACTTAATATAATGTATAGTAAACAAAAATGATAAGAATATGCAAATCTACTTTTATTATTAATCATCTTTAAAGTTATAAAAAAAGTAATAAGGGAGTCATCTTACTATATAAAATGATATTAA